GATATCAATTTATGTCAACGTAAATGCTTCTTTGTTATTCGCCTGAGATTGGGTATAATGTATGCGAACCCCGACAGCCCCACTCCCCGGGAACATGTGTCGGCGAATCTTAAATGGAGCTTATGAAACTATTAAAAGGCGAGCAGACAGCGCACACATGTCGACAACAGGCAAACAAACAAGTCGGCTAGTGTCCTTATGAAGGAGGAACTCTACCATTTATCTCCCCCTTGGTTGGGGGTAATTAGTTTGCTACACGCTCGAGGCGTGCCTTCGTGTCCTGTTTTCCTGGAGTCGCCATGAATTATTCGAGGCGGTGGCAAAAACTTTGACCAGCTGCTCGAAAAGGTTGACAAAACCTCAAGCCACGGTAACCGCAGGACCAAGACAACGATGATGAAGATGATGATGTTGATGGAGTCTTACAAGGAGTAGAGTAGATTACTCATACGCACGATTGCCCAATGAACATTAATTATTTAGTCAGGCTCCATCTCCGACATCTCCTTGCTTTTTTTGTGGCTAATGTTAATTGCCTTTGTCTCCGCCACATTTGCATAATTCCGCTCTAAACAATAAAAATCTAATTTGGCCTGCTTCGCTATATAATTTCTTGTTAAATTCATAATTGTTAATTTCTGTTGCCGGCATTTTCTTTGGGGCTTAACTTTAATTAAGAGCCAAGAGCCAGGGTTGCTCCTTTTGCCTGTCCAGCTGCACTGTGCCTGAGTCCTGTTCACAAGGGTGGAAAGATTGAGGAGCGGCGTGCATGTGAATGGTCAGTTCTGGCCACCAAAAAAGATGACTTCACAAAGGGTGAAACGATTTCTGGGTGCTTTTAATGAACTTGGCAGTGACAGAGATTTCTGTGTAAAGGGAAAATAAGAATACTAAAAATAAGGTGTTATTACGGGAAGGATAAGGAATGAATAAGCAAGGATATTAGATACAGTCCTTGAATTAAGTAAAAGGAACTTTCCTAAATTTATTAATAATATCATATACTTTTGAGATATTTGTCAAATTAGGTATTGCAAAAAAATATTATTACTAACTAACAGAAATATATTGTATCCTGTTATCTATCTTAAAGCTTGTTTATTATACCATCTTTTATTAAAAAACAATTTACCAAAACGAATACTAAAAATATGGTCTTATTAGTGAAAGGATAAAGAAATATAAGTCCATAAGCTAAGGTCTTTTTCCAGTTATGAATATCAACAAATATCATTACTAAATAACATATATTTTTAGATTATATCCTGTTATCTAATTTAAAAAAATTCTTTTTGATCCAAATTTTATTACCATCTTTATCCCTTTCCCCAATTAACATAAACGACGCTTTTAAACGATGTTTTGGCTTTTGCCACAATTAGTTCTCCTTCTTCATCCCTCTGGGCAGTCACAAAATGTGGACCATTAAATGGCAAAAACTTTAAGCGGCTCCAGCTCTCATACCAGCACCTTCCCCCTCTTGTTGTTTAGTACTGCCAAGAAACAAAAACCATTAAAACAATTTAATCTCACTTGAAGAAATCTTCGGTAGCCAGAGAGTCGAGCATGAAATGCAAAAGTTTTTATTTTGACGCCTGGCGCCTTCGCTCCTGGATTGTAAATCGTTATCCTCGCGGACTCCAGTTCAGGGTTCTGAGGTGTTTGCCATCCTGCCACCCTTACAAGTTAATTTTCACATTGGGACATGACTGACAGCCCCATCCTCAGTCCTTAAGTCGCGGCAATTTCCTCGGCACTTTTGTTTAGTTTTTGATTTGACTTTTACTTTTTGGTTGGGCTGGTTTTTCGGTTTTGTCGGCTAATTATCATCATTTTGGCCAAATGCCTGAAGCGATTTGCCTTGGCCGGAGTTTTTCTGCTCCTTATTCGGCAAAGTTTCAATGGTTTTTTGGTGGGGATGTTACCCTGGTGTTCCGGCCATTATGTAGCCATCAAAATAATTTCTTGTTGCTTCTCTTGTTGTTTTTCGTGGGGGTAAACTTTTGGCTGTGATTTTCATAGCCAAGAAACAATCAAAATTTAATGTGCGGCGCCGCGTTTTGATTGAAAAATAAAATACTCGGAATAATCAAATAAATGCCCAAACAACAGTGGCTGTATATTCGGTGTATAAAAAAGTGTGCAAAATAAACTGCTCATCATTTTCCAGGCCTGCAGCTCCGGTTGCCTTGGAAATACCCAAAAACGAACCCATTCCGGAACGCGATTCCGATTCCACCCGCATTTGCACGATTCGTTAAACAAAGCACACGTTAACAGGAGCAAGTCGAAGGACGTTGGATGGGCGGTTGGGTCCGGGATTGGGAAGTGGGGAGTGGGAATGGTCATGCCCAGGACAAACAGACATTCCGGGCGGTCAGTATCAGCAGTTGCCCGCCGGCCATCAGTGGGTTAAGGTGGCCAAATATCAGGCAACACATATGCCTATAAAAAATTTGGGTAACACAGATGATTTCTAAATTTAATAAGCTAAAACTTAACTGATTTGGGAAGTTATTTTTAAAATTTGATAGATCTATTATAAGGTAAATATAGAAATACTATAGGGACATACCAGACTATAAAGACATGAAAAGCTTATACTTTATTTCTTAGCTAATGAATATTTATTCATAATCTAACACTCACACAACTCTTCCAATTTATTCAATCTTCTTTAATTTAAGATATTCAATACTTAATAATTCATCAATTTACAATAAATCCAACATAAATCTGCATTTTATTTCACAATAATATTCAATAACAATAATTTAAACTTTCCCCATAAGAGCATTTCAACTTCCTTAATCCAAAAATCCTGCATGGTCCCGTCTTTTGTGTGTGGTCCGTCAAATGCTTTTAACTTTTATTTGTTTAATGTTTTTTATATCCTTCACATCCCAACAGTTGTTGTTGTTGTTGCTGCTATTACCTTTATTGTTCCGGCTGCTGCTTTTGTTTGTCAGCTACAACTGTCGTTTTGGGACCGTTCCACAAAAAAAAGAACCAAAGGGGAAAAAACCAAAATAGACGAAAAACAAGAAGAAACATTGCAAAATTGTTGGCAAATATTGAATTTGCAACATATTCGACTCATATGTCACACCAAAGCGAAGCGGTGGAAGCTGTCGCGAGTGAGTAACAAAAGGTTTCTGTTTACCAACATTTGCATTTTGTTGGGAAACAGGGACAGTTGCTTACCTTCTTTTTTTCTACCATTTTTGCCATTTGGAGTGGCCAAAAAAGTGAGTTGACCAGGAGCAGGATGACGAATGTGGGGGAATCAGGAGCATCAGGAGATGTGGACAAAAATATCAAATGCAGCACAGCTGTTGTTCAAATAGTGAGACATTAATTTTAAGTGTTGTAAGCATGGGATTCGTTAATTTTCAGCTGTTAAATACATACAGAATATGTGGGTATTATGTCAGTATTTAATTTATATATAAAAAAAAAATTCTAAATGGTTATTAATATTATTACATGAAATTTAAGAGTATTTCAATTATAGTTTAACTAGAACTATAAACAAAGAGTTCTATGGAAAGGAAAGGAAGTTATAATTTCCTTAAAGGTAATTTACACCTTTACCAGAAGATTTGCTTATGAAATTATCTAAACAATAACTAAATTTAACACTCATTTCCTTTCTCCATAGTTATTAGTTTTCCCACCGTATCCTCTGAACAAATTTCAACCCTTTTTTGGAGTAATCCCTTTGGCAAACAATAAAACTGAATACGTATTTAAATAACAGTTGCTATCAACACCGTCACACTCTGTTTCCACAACTCCCTCACTTAACCCCATCATAATCACCTTTGTCCGGCAAAAATATATAAGAGAAAAGATGAGAAAAGTGGAGAGAAAGTGCGGTCCAAGTAACTATAACATTTAAGCGGCTTTGCTGAAAGTTGTGAGTCATTTGATAGCCTCTGGCTTTAAGGGAGTTGTCCTTACTCCTGTTCTACTCTCTCCTAGAATATAAAAAGTATATTTCATATGTGGCATAAAAATAAATTGTAGGAGCTTTTTATTTTTATGGCTGTCAACCGGCAAGGTTGAGGCCAGGACAACTAAATCATGTAAAGGATTTGCGTCTTATCAGGCTCCTGGCATTCCTTTTTGCCTTTCGCAGACAGGAAATTGAAAATTTCCACCAGAAACGCATACGCATGTGGGCTGTGGGTCTGTTTGAAGTGTCAGAGATCCGATTCGCAAGGAAGGCCTATTACATTTACGCTAATTTGATAATCTGTTCACGCACAAGGATACCAGATACCATTTGCATGGCGCCCAAGGATCCTAGACGATGGTCCGAGTGCCGGCAGACGCACCTAATTGGCTGCAATGGCACCCCAGGGACTCTGGGAACTGTTTATGTTCTGTTTAGGTTTTCTGTTGCTGTTTCTGTTTCTGTATCCTTATTCAGCGGATGGACCCTTTTTGTGTCCTATCAGCGCGTTATCATCGCATTCCCCCCATCTCCAGAGCGAACCGAAAACACTTTGGTCCGTGGTCAGCGACTTTATTATTTTCTCTTTTATTTTTATCCCCCAAAAGCTGTTTTAACCAGCGAAAAAGGGAGTCCGTTTTCGGTAATCGCTTTTACACGCTTGACTTCAGATGAAATTAGTTGCGGGTTCGGGATTTGTTTCGGTTGAGGTCAAAGGTTAACTAAATAAATTACTTATATCAGAATAAATTTATTTGTTTAGCTTGAGTTGCCCAAAACGTTTTCGAAACAAAGATAGCTCAGCCTGGAGATATGAGTTTCCGAATATCATTTGTATTGGTTTTTAAAAAATATACAATGAAGAAATGAAAATAAAAACATACAAAATTTAACTTCCATAAGCCGAATTTTTACCCTTATAGTTAATTGAAAGATCATGGGTTCGAATGTGTTCGAATGCAATCCATTCTTACTAATGTATAAATCTGAAATTGAAAAGCTTTGCTGTGTTGGCTTCATATATAAATAAACACCACTTGAGTATGCCAATTATTACAATTTATTAGGTCCATAAAGTCATAACATCAGTATGTTACAAACAACTTTACAACGATCTCTAGTCCTAAGATCCTGTAGCTTTTTAACTCCCTCGATAGCAAGTGCGATGCCCAGTTGGACAACGACCTCCCTTGCAAGTTTTGACAACCAACCGCCTTGAGGCGGTGCACCGTCCACCAAAGGATGCTTGGCCTTTTCTCATTGTATTGCTTCACAACATCCTCAGTTTGGGATCGTTGTTCGGGTGTCAACTGAATCTGATCGGCATACTTGTCGAGAAAATTCACCAGAAAGTAAACGTTGCTATCAGCAATGCTATCAGGATTAGCATCCTTATAGACCGCAATCACACGTTCCCTATCAGATTCAAAGTTCTCTTCGGCATTAGCTGTCCCCAGAAGGCTTCCGCTGATGACCAACAGGCAGCTGGGGAGAAATTATCAAGGAATTAGGAATGAAAAAATAAATACTATATATTTAAATTACCTCAGGAAAATTGTTGAACTCATATTGATGCTTCAGTTACTAGTATCAATCGAAACTAATACCTGTCCAATGATTCCTTCCCTTTTATATTGATTTCCATTTTACATAGGACAGGAGGTATAGGTCATTGACGCCTATCAGCTGACTTTAAGTGATAATTGTTTGATTAAATAGCAGATTTCCGATTAATTTAATTTCAATTGAAATCTGAATCATCAAAAGTTTTTATTAACCCTAGACCTCCAAGATAATGTTCTAAGAAAAATGTTTGCTTGTGCATAGAAATCAATATAACAAGATCCTCATGGGATTGATTTGAGATATTCCGAAATTGACTTTTCACCTTTTTGTTTTGTTATATTTATAATATTTCATACAAATCTATTATAAATTTAAGTAAGACTATTGAAATATTCTGAAAACATTCAATTGCTTTCTATTAATTTCCTATCGTTTCCATAAAAGCTATGTGATATATATTAGTCCTATTTTTATTGATATGTAGACCCAGAAAGCGAACGGAAAGGACTAGACCGACAAGTATATTCTTCGAAAATGACTCCGACTATAATGATACTTTTTAAGAGTATTAAAAAAATTAAATCAAATCTCATCAACGTATTATAGCATCTAAGACTTTTGGAGAACATTACTTTATAATATACTCAATTAAAATAAAAAAAAACACATTTTAACGAGTTAAAGTCCGCCGATAATGAGCGCATAATTAATTGAAAGGCATGTCTTTAATTCAATAAGTTAAAATATCAAACATCTTCTATTTTATGATATCACCTAAAATTGTAATACTTATGAGTTTATATTAATCCGTAGACTATACGTAGAATGTACATATTCCTAGAATTGTTTGCTTATGCACTGAAAGAGAGCGATAACACGGAGAATTTTAGATTAAAATCATCTAATTCGGAATAATCAATAAATAAATAAAAGTTAATAATATTTAAGTCAGCTGATAGGCGTGAACTCGTGACCTCAGTTCGATGTGTAATGCGGAACAAGCCGCTATAAAAGGGAAGCAATCATTGGGACAGGTATTAGTTTCGATTGATACAAGTAACTAAAGCCTCAATATGAATTCAACAATTTTCCTGAGGTAATTTAAAAATATAGTATTTATTTTTTCATTCCTAATTCCTTGATAATTTCTCCCCAGCTGCCTGTTGGTCATCAGCGGAAGCCTTCTGGGGACAGCTAATGCCGAAGAGAACTTTGAATCTGATAGGGAACGTGTGATTGCGGTCTATAAGGATGCTAATCCTGATAACATTGGTGATAGCAACGTTATCTTTCTGGTGACTTTTCTCGACAAGTATGCCGACCAGATTCAGTTGACTCCCGAACAAAAATCCAAAGCTTCAGATATTGTGAAGCAATACAATGAGGACAAGGAAAAACAACCTTTGGTGGACGGTGCACCTCCTCAAGGTGGCTGGTTTTCAAAACTAGGAAGGGAGATCGTTATACAATTGGGCATCGCAATTGCTTCTGAGGGAATTAAAAAGGCAACGGGATCTTAGAATTAGAGATCTTTGCAACGTTGTTTTGTAACATACTAATGCTTTAAGCACTATGAGATCCTAATAAAATGGAAATAATTTTGCTTTTATTAATGAAGCGGTTTTTCTTATTTATCTCTATAATAATATTAAACTGTGTTGTATTTGAATGGGAATATAATTTTTGTTACAGCCTAAAATCCGATTTACTTAATTCCTGTTGCCGCAAACTGTGATTTGGTAAATGTTTTGTCTGCCTCATATCTCTTTCTCATTAGCCAGCCAGCCAGTCACAGAAATTGGCTCACATCAACGGAAATGTTGGGACAACCCACTCGGCGTATGAGCAATCTGCTTCCCTTTTACACACACAGACAGAAAACCATACGCCCCGTGGGCATTTCCCATTTCCCAGTTTCCAATGTGTGGATAGATGTCCTGGTGTGCGACAAGATTTATGTGTGTTTTCTTTTTCTGTCGGCGAACATTTTAACGCCTGCAAATTTGCTAATTAATTAGTTTAAACGCCTTAGGAGCGCCCTAACTGAAGATGTAATTATAAGGGAAATCCAGTTGTGCCTTGTGCATATAGATCAGTTTCAGATCTTTCAAAACACCCAGCTTAAATTAATGCCTTTATGAGTCACTCACACCGAGGGGAAGCCACAAAAAAAAGGCTTACAAAAAATATGATGAAGGGAAAACACGCGCTCGTTTTTACACGCATGTAATTTGTGGGAAATTTGTTCAACCCTTTTTCTGCACTTTTCGCATACTTTTGCCGCAAATAAAGGGAAAATTAATTTAACGCGTGTTTTTCCGGGTCCCTGCATAATGGAATTGATTTAAGGTTATTAATATGAGCACTCTGGGCACAAAAAAATAAAATAAAAAAGTAACAACATGGAAAAAGCAAAGAATTCCGGGAGATGCCTAAGTAAATGTTTGTAGCTGCTGTTGGCTCCTGCTTCTGCTGTGTGGTAACCTTTAACGTCAATTTTATGCAAATTATGTTGTTTCTGTCGGAGATTTCCAGAGGGGGCGTATGGATGTCTATCTGGGGCTTCGGGGGGCGTGGCATTTTCGAAACGACGGGGCGTCACTGCAAAGTTTTGGAGTGTCGGGGAGTGTTGTTATTGAAGTTTTCCGACCACCGACTGCCGACTGCTCACTGCTGACTTATTCAATAAGCCAAGTTGAAGTATGCTCCATTATATATTTGTTGGTGGCTGCCGGTGGCTGGAGCTGCTTAAGCAAATACCGTGTGCTCGTATATGCAAAAAGTGCAAATAATAATAATAAAGAGTACTTATTGTTTGATTTATGTGTCTGTGTGTGCACAATGCCGGCCAGTCGAAGGATGAGCTATATTTTGGGCTCTAAGATGAAATGGAGGTCCTTCTGCAGGCTGACAGGTCTTGCGGGATGGTTTCTTATATGCTTTTGGTTGAGTTTAATTGAGTTATACATGTGAAAAGTATGGGATGTGCTCTGGAGATTGGGAAGAGATCATGGATAGCACTTTCTGGGCTGTTATTATTGTATGTATGTCTTATTTTAAAGCTTCCATAACTTATTTCAAGACCCCCTCTTCACTGCTTAATTTTTGAGACCCTCTCCATGACCTTCCCACCAAACTTCTTATAGCTAATCCCCTGCCATCAGTTTACCTTACAATAGCTGTGTAGAACCCACCGATAAAGTCACCTTTATTTGTCAGTCTTAGGCTCCCCCGAGTCAACTGTCAAGTCCTTCCAGACCAGGCACGTTCCTTATTCCTTTCACACAATCCTGAAGCGTTAAACCGCACACACCTATCATGATGATGACGTTGTTTTTGGCTTCTTTTTTTCCTCCCAGAGTGCGGATGGCTAAGTGAGCCATTTATCTTAGCTGGAACCTCAAGCGCGACACAACAGAAATAGCAACAAAATAAAAAAGAAAACACTTCCTACAGGCGTCATCCAATCCTCAATAATACCGCTTTGGAAATAAAACGATTTATATGCCACAACAAGGAAGAACCAATAGAGGTACAAAACGCACAGTGATCAGAACACAGGGGAAAATAATTAAGGTTCTGGAAATTAAATTAAAGAATATAAGTGGCTTATAAAGAAAAAGTTCTGATAAAAAATGAACTAAGTAGTCTATATATATTTATATATAAATTTATACAAACTAAGCTGTCTCTAAAACTTTTTAATGGTAATTTGAATTCACAGTTGCACAAACAATTTCACAACCTAGTTTTAGTATAATTCTTAAGACTTTCCCTTAAGCTCAGTGTACTCTTTCACTACAGGGCGAATCCTGTCGAATTTCCTTTACTTTTCTCGTTTTATTCGGCCTTATCCAGTCTAACCATCAATCGAACAATCGCAACAGCAACAACAAGTAGTAAATGAAACCCCTGCAAGGACCAAGAGCCAGAAACCGACGTAAAAAAAAACAAGTAAAATCGAAGATTGCTATCTTTGACGGCTTGTTTTCCTGCCCAATCTCTATGAAGGCGGTGGTCGGTGTGCGGGGGCGTGGCAGCTATTATGTATTGGCGTTGAAACAATTTGAACAACAGTCGTCGGCGTCTCCCAAGGAGAGCGAGAGAAAAAAAACAAATGAAAGGAAGTCGTTTAAAAGTACAAACGGACATTATTTATCGCTCAAACCATTTAGCCACAGAAACTACCCAAAGAGGAGTCGAAAAAAAGTCTTAGAGTGCAGAAAGAGCAAATCCATATCCTTAACCTTGTTGTTGTGTCTACTTAGTTGTAATAAATGGAAAAACGCAAAGAGCGCCCAAGTCCTGGCCACAATGCGTTGCATATAATTTCTGTTCAAGTTGCGATGGGTAGGGATGTTCCTGGAGTAGGAAGAGATCCAGCAGGAATAGCAATTGGATTTTTAGGAATACCTACTAAGGGCAATCGATTGATTTCTGCTGGCTCAAGCAGTTTTCTCTCTAAGTAATTTACAGTTGTCATTAAATGGGAAAACATTTCGATGGCTAGGAAGTGCGTGTGGGAAGTCTCTGGAAATGAGTTTCTCCTCCAACCAAAGCAAAACGATTCGATTCGATCGAATGTTCAAGTAAAGTGGATCGAAAATAATTGTGGTCAATGAATGTTTTAGCTGAGAAAACGTACAGTAACAAGTGTCTATATTAATCTATTAAATTAATTAAAGTTAAAAATTTGTTAATAACTTTTTTGTATCTAAATTTTTAATCATTTTAGGAAGTTTTAAGTTTCCAAACAAATTTGTTAAATTTATGTTAATATTGAACTCTGAAACATCAAAATTTGTGTTAAAACTATCATGGGTGTTGCTCAACTGTTCATCGCAACATTGTATTTCATAAGTGTTGCTAGCAACATTTGCCTCGATTCGTCAACATTTTCTTATGGCTTTCGTCCTGTTTAATTTAAGTTGTTCATATATTTGAGAATAATTAGGCAATGTTAATAAGCCATGGGTTTCTAAAGTGGTATATCCTCTTTAAATTAAGATCATAATATAACTTGTACTTTTCCTACATTTATTCTAATGAAAATGTTAAATAAAGTTAAATAATTGATTTGTATACTTAATTAATTAAGTCAATATAAAATTGATTTATAAAAGAGTTTTGTAGAAAAAATGAATAATACATTAAAGGATCACAAAGCTTGCAAGACTCAAAACTTAATTTTATATAATTTCTACAGCTTCCGATTGGAACATCCATCTCGCATAGCACCTTTCACCCTCTTCAAATGTGTCATATGGAGCAGAGTTTGCGGAATTCGTGTACAGATCCCCGACTAAAGCCAGAATAGCCCGGGGATATGGGGATTCTGTGGCTGCGAGACAAAAGGATGAGTCCAGAGGAGTCAGCTAGCCACGGGCATCTTATCGCCCTAAACCACTTTAGTGTCAGTCCCGCTGACAGCGGTCCAGCCTCGTCCCGTGAACATTGTCGCCTTTTTTGCAGGACGACTGGGGGAGGTGGAGTGAAGTGGAGGGCAGAGAACCACTGTTGTCTCTTAACATGGCCAGTGGTCTTGTCGACATTGCGATAACAAAACACACACACAGTGAAGAGAAAAAGAAGAAAAAACGAGGACAACGAGGAGTTTTACGCTCTTGGCCATAATGAGGGTGATTTTCGTATTTGTGGTAGATTTGTCCACTTAGCAGGAATGACCAGGCCGAGGACCAAAGCTGTTGCAATTTGCTGGCAAATCATTTGTACATTTCCACAGTGGATTACGGTTGGCCAGAAGCAGCTTCTTTGCTTTTTTTATTTTTGTGTCCCTGACCACCGATTCCTGCCTGACTCCCGATGATAATGCTCATAATTGTGAGGCCTGCATATATTTTGTCCTGTGTCTGTTTTTTTATATATTTGTGTATATGCCATGATATATGCGCCAGCATGCTTCACAATGATTTGTGCTAATGAGTGAATAGCTGTGGGTGGGATTTGTCGTCTAGGATTACTTACTTGTGGACAAAATCCTAAGCGAAAGTCCATGCAAATTCTGGACAGATTCTTGCATTTAATTGGCATTTTTATGCCTGGAGTTTGAGGGAAAGTTTTTTAATAAAGCGACAGCCGAAAACCGAAACGAAATGAACCGCTCTTCATTCCAACTCAGTTGATTTTCATTTTCATTTTCATTTGGATTTTCATTTTGCCCATTTAGCCAGCGACCTCAAGTGCGGGTTAGGACCGGCATTCGGCATTCTGTCGCCCTCGCTGTGTACACAATTGTCTACGGATTTTCAATATTATTTGCTGCGGTCTTCCGATATACAAAATACAAAAAAAGAGAGTCCCCCATCTGGCACCATCATCTTGGGGCTCCTTTGTGGGTGTGAAATTGTGGAAACTGTGGAAACTGACTGACTGCCGCTGTCACCGGGCACACTGAACTCATTGTGACCGCCTTCAATTGGGCATTTTATTTTATATTTGAATTTTAAAATTCCTTCCGCTCCGGCGACAGGCGACGGCGGCTAAAGGCAACAGGAAAATGGACAATTTGTGTTTGTGGCAATTGATTGGCAAATATTGTCCGGCCAAAAGGTTTGCTGATTAATACGCACTGACAGCAAGTCAGTTGGAATGAAAGAGAGTTTTGTCCATTGTTGATAAAAGGATACTTCATTTGAAATGTTTTAAAGGACCTGTCAAAGGGTTATCACAATTCTTTTAAAGGTTTTTACAGAAATTTGTAGTTCCTTGCCTTAAAATAATAGTTATCTTCTAGAATTTGTTACTATTTTTGGTTCCTTAATCTTTTAAAAATTTTATCCGCTTAGGCTGGCTCGTTTAAACTTTGCACTTAGCGTTTCTAAACCCCTTGAAGCAATTCATCCAGAATCGCATGCTCCATTTGAGTGCCTTAAAGTCGGCGTCGGCGATAAAATAAAGAAAGTTACTCAATGGCAACTTGCATGCAAATTACAAGCAATAAAACGTGGCACATTCCAATGCTTAGGCAAACTTCTGCTACGCCAAGGAGATTATTCTTTATTGTTTAGAGAATGGCAGGATGAGATCCTTGGGTCCTTGTGGCAATTCGCACATCATGCGATTGGTATCGAGGGTGTGGCAATTCCCAGGGCTGTCATATGCGAGGACACCGCACCAAGCACAAGGCTCTCCCAGCCCGACACAGGGATATGCAAATTTGTCATCCAGTAAACCAAACAGAAAACACATATAAAGGAGTGAAATAATCATAAAAACGTCAGGCTCCAACGTGGAGGCAAGAATCCTGAATTGAATTTTTATCTATTGTATTGGCAATAAAGTCACATTGTCACAGCATGTATAAAATGATTATTGTTTACTCTTATAGGGAGTAAGAATCCTTCTCCTCATGATCGAGATGAGGGGCAAAAAGTTGAGTTGCGGGCTCAACCGGGATTTGAACCCGGGACCTCTCGCACCCAAAGCGAGAATCATACCCCTAGACCATTGAGCCGCCTTGATAACAGCCGAAAATGTTGGCTTTTTAAACCACGAATGCAATCTTTAAGATACTCGTTCGCTTGGTAACCAAAAGATACATTTTTGAATGCATAATAAGGCAATAAAGTTGACACAACCAGTTTAAAATGTAAATATTTCTTCAGCTGCAAGCATGCATAATATTATTAACCCTTTGCTTTGGGGTATATGTGGTATTTGTTGATAATAAAATGCAAATAAAATATAATATAACATATTTTATAATAATTTTAAAGATATAACTAATACGATCTTGTGTACATAAAATTAAATAAATAAAAACGAACTATTAAAGTTAAGTGAAGCTAATACTTAAGATAGTTATATAACATATTATTTTATATTTTATAAACATAGATAACATGTATATTAATATGTATTAATGCTAAAAATAAGGCTAACATTTTTTAGCTTAGAAAATTAGGCTAATAAATTAAATTTTATATTTTAAGAAAGGATGTCAGTGGCACTTAAGGGGTTAAGACCTTAATAGTTGTCTCCTCACCTTTGATAGTTTCTTTTGTTACCCTCAAAAATGGAATTTCCATCGAGGGGATGTAGCTCAGATGGTAGAGCGCTCGCTTAGCATGTGAGAGGTACGGGGATCGATACCCCGCATCTCCAATCTTTATTTTTCCATTTTTATTAATTAGAGTTTTAAAAATATATATTCCAACTTACCCTCATCAGTGGATCTTTGATTTATTGACTTTTAAACACTGCAGTTGGCCTCCAATTATTTTCCACAGCACGGCAGCTGACTCATCAAATTTTGTTTTGTCTCCGGCGCTCTGGGCATGCTTTTAATTTAATTTGAAAAGTTTTGCATGCCCATTTGGCGCATTTAACCCCTTCGCCTTTCTGCCCAAAAAAAATGTATATATAGATGAAAAAATGGAAAGAAATATCATAAATAATGATGATAACTGTCTAAAGTTTTCAGGGCTTGCTATGGCCACTCCCAAAACTCCCACACCAAATGCAATTAACTGGGCAGCGGGCAGAGTCCCAAAGAAAAAGAAAAATATGACAATTAGGCGGAAAACTAATTGAGGTTGGCAGGGGAAAAATTAAAGGGATTAGCAAAGGGCCAAGGGAAAAAATTTAATTTGATTTTTGAAGGAGACAAGCTGGTAGGAAAACTGTAAGATTTTTTAAAGCTATCAATCTACTCTTAATTTTTTTTTCCTTTAAAGCTTCTTTTTTTCTATTTTACCGTCCCACCCACAATTTTCTTCCTTTAGTTTTCTTTTTTCTTCTAGGGGTTCAAGTTCGTGGCTCCTATAAATCACAGGACTGAATCCATTGAAGATTTATGAGCTGCTAAATATGCTGGCGAAACAACAGCCGAGGGTCGTGGCCTGGACATTTGAGCCAAAAAACTTTGTCCACATATCAAACTTTAAAGCGCAATTATCATATATGTATCTTTGATATATATGTAAGACTGTACATATATCCTTTGGCAGTGTCTGTCTTCCACCGTGTTGCTTTTTACTTGCGCAGATAAACAAAACAAGGTCCTAAATAAACAAAATGAGAAAAAGAATAAGCGCAAAATGAGTAAAAAGTTGCTCCAGACAAAAATACAATTTGATTTTAATTGAAAAATAGCAAAAACCTCGCAGAAAGGGAACATAAAGGTGCAGATGGATGAGATCCGTCTGGATACATATGTTATATAATATGTGGGAAGTGGAATATGTCTTGGGAGCTTAAAGATATTTTAACCGTTTTTTGTATCTGATAAATCTGTTACGACCACTTAAGCTTATGGAAATTAATCCAATTAATTGCAAATACTTTAGGAGGTGCCTTAACCCCTTTTTGGCTCTTGACCCAACCGCACTCAAAGTGCCATTAACAAAAGCAAAAACAATTTTTACACTTTGCGTGCCAAGAAGAGCAACGAAGCAAATAAAAACAAACTAGCCGGGAAAGTCCACCAACAACAGACACTAAAATAGCAACAAACAGAATTTTCCTTTTTATTTATTTTTTCAACAACTTTTTACCTTTTTTCCAACTCATTTTCAAGTGTTTCCACTTTATTGGTGTTGTTTTTTGGGCAAAGCCATTAGGAAGGGACAGATGGAGATGGAGGGAGTTGGGTCCTCGGCAATCTTGATGGGGCCAGCATTGTTTTTGTTGACTTAAGTCAACAAGGTCGAGGGTTAATGAAAGCCGGCCTGAAAGCCTCAAAGTTGGTTCACGGTTTCCTGCTTAAGTTGTACCCATGCCATGGTGGGGTTTCCATAAAAGAAAAATAAGAATAGAACGTGATTGTGGGTTGATTTAAGAATAGTTCCCATAGAAAGTATTTTAGAAAAGGTGGATTTATTTTTAAATATCTTTCTAAATTTATTTATTGAGGAATTTGAATTGAAATATTCAAATTATGACTTCCTAATATCATCAAAGTTTCCGTGGTGTAGTGGTTATCACATCCGCCTAACACGCGGAAGGCCCCCGGTTCAATCCCGGGCGGAAACAGTTGTTTTTTTAGTTTAAATATTATTTTATATTTATCGAATTCATTTCTTAGACTTGACATAAAACTTATTTCAATTAATTAAGAAGAATAATCGAATTTAAGCAAAGACGATAAGTTTAATTAAGCAAAAACAAAAAACGAGGTAAGATAAAATTAACAATTGCTCCTTCACCTTTAAAAGTGAAATGTATTATGCTATGTATATATTGTAAATTTCCCGTATTTAAAAACAATAAATACAACCATTTAAATGAGTATTTCTAATGCACTTTTGCTGAGATTAACCTTCTACACTTGATTTCAAAAGAAATTCAAACCTACCCTAAGGGTTATTTCGTTATCTCTCTTTGTATAAGCAAATAATTCTGAGAACATGAATATTATTTGAAAAGTCTAGAAGGTTAATAGAAAGTTATCATGATTTAGATTTCAGACCAGAAATCAGAAAAGTGTCGATTAATCAAATCAACAAATATTACTTAAGAGTCAGCTAATCGGCGTGAATGACCCCTGTCCGATGCATTAATCGGAAGCCGCTATAAAAGGGAAGCATTCAGTCGAACAGGTATTAGTCTCAACTTGTTAATCTGACAATCAGTAACTAAAGCCTCAATATGAAATCTCAAATTGTTCTAAGGTAATTTAAAAATGTATTATTATTCAATGATGTATCCTTTAATTCCTGATCATTTCTTCCTAGCTGCCTGGTGGTCATCATCGGAAGCCTTGTGTGGACAGCCAGTGCCGAACAGGAGTTTGAATCTGATAGGGAACATGTAATTGAGGCCTACAAAAATGCTAATCCTGAATCCGTTGGGGATAGCAACATCGTCTTTCTGGTGAATTTTCTCGACAAGTACGCCGATCAGATTCAGTTGACTCCCGAACAAAAGTCCAAAGCTTCAGATATAGTAAAGCAATACAATGAGGAAAAGGAAAAGCAACCTTTGGTGGATGGTGTGCCGCCTCAAGGTGGTTGGTTTTCAAAACTTGTAAGGACGCTCGTTGTTCAACTGGGCATCGAACTCGCTACCGAGGGAATCAAGAAAGCAACGGAATCTTAAGGCTTTAGATCCCTTCACAATGCTTTTTGTAATATACCCTTGTTTTGAGGACTTTGTGATCCTAATAAATTGGAAATAATTGGCATACTGAAGTTGTTTTGTACTTATTTATTTAGCTGATTTGGAATCCTGGAAAAGTACCAATCGTTAAGCTTGAATTGTGTTGACCTGAAATACACGTTCCTATAGGATTGAATATACAATTTGAAATATATTAATATATAGATTATAGTTGTATATAAATAAGTATTTATAGCTGCATCATGGCCTTAAACTTATCGCGCTGCTTTTGCTTCAAGGCCTCATACTTCTTGCGTTCTACATTTTTAACAAGAAATTCTTGGAATTTTCTTCGCATGTCCATGGATAGACCAGTATTTCGCAAGTCCAGCCTCTCGATAACTTTATTGCAGCTTATAATTTTCAGAAGATGCTTCCCAAATTCCTTCAAAATAGATTTCATTAAATTAAATGACATTGAAGAGGCAAGGAACCCACCTCTCCCACAGAATTGTTGGATAAATCAATGTCCAAAAGGGTCGTGTGCTGGCAAACCAGCATCATAAATAGCTTTGTAATGGTCTCCGTAATCCCGCAGGTGCCCAAGTCCAGCTCCTTGATGGGCATGACCTGAAGAGTATTGAAAATGGCAGCAGCTCCATCGCTTTGAATGGGATTCAAGCGGAGCACCAGTCGCTGCAAAGGAACGTTCCTTAAGGTACGACTCAGTACGTAGGCACCTTCTTCAGCTGGAAAACAAATAAATAAAATGGAAACAAAAGTATTCATGAAATATATCTTTCAAAATTAAAATTATCTCTTTGCCAATGGTTCACTCACTAATCTTATTGTTGGTCAAATCAAGGATGGTTAGCGTGTTAAAGGACTCCCTGCTGCAAGTTTCCAAGAAGCTGCGAATGCCCGCATCGCCCACGGCACAGTGCAGCAAGGACATCTCGCTGAGGTGGTGACATCCCTTGTCCAGACTGTGGGCCAGGAATCGAAGTTGATATGGCATCAGTTTCGTGTTGTGCAGACTGAAGCATACAAAAAAGAAAAGCCATCACGTGGGACGCACATCAGAAGTGGAGAAATCCATCCTCACCAGAACTTCCGTAACTCATGGCACTGACTGAGTCCCTTGGCCAAGTGAATGATGTCCCTGGCCGTCAACTGGTTGCAGCCCATTTGGTAATTGCAGCCGGCCGTCTTGGTGCTGTAACTCAGTCGCAGTTGGCGTAAATCCGGCAGATTGCTCAGCAGTAATCAAGTGGAATGTGATCTGCAGATGGGTGTAAGTGTTTCAGATAAAACAAGGAAATGTAAAGGCTTGGGTGTGAAAAGAGGATTCAAGCTACCATAAATTTGTCCCTAGCAAACAACATCGAACAAACATTTAGGTTTAATTATAACTATATAAAAATTAAAACATGAATCAAGTAAAGTACTTTTGCATTGAATTCTATTGCATTAAACTGTTAAATAATAAAACTGAATCTGTAAAGTAAAGTATTTACTACCCCATAAAACAAGGGTATACCCAATTCCTGTCCACTCACCATTCGCATCGGTTGTGGGTGGCGCCGGTTGAAGGAAACTTATATCCAACTGATTTATGTACGCCGCACATATGTCCAGGACGACTTGTACGTTGCCCTCCTGCTCGTAGTCGCTCGTCTGCATGTTTTCGATGAACTCCTGCACATGTCGCTCCATGTAGATGTTGATCCATGGCCGCTCCTTTCCACGTGGCTGCAGTGGGGAGCTTCTCCAGCGTTGGCCATAGCAGCGTTCCCAGAAGAAGTCCTCGCGGATATAAGTACTGAGGAGTTGCAGTGGCAGCTGAGTGTCCAGGTGGCTGAGCAGGTAGTTGCGGTCCTCGCGCCGCCTCAGCTGGTGGTACAGGGGCAACTCTGCGGATGAGCAATGTCTGGATTATGTCGATATGTCAGCCATTCCTACTAGCTATTTTTATACCCTTGCAGGGTATTATTATTTCAGTCAGAAGTTTGCAACGCAGTGAAGGAGGCACCTCCAACTATATAAAGTATATATATTCTTGATCAGGGCCAACAGCCGAGTCGATCTAGCCATGTCCGTCTGTCCGTCTGTCCGTTTCTACGCAAACTAGTCTCTCAGTTTTGAAGCTATCTGAATGAAACTTAGCAGTTAGTCTTCTATATACTCTCACTCATATATATGTCTGAACGGGCCGGATCGGACCACTATATCATATAGCTGACATAGGAATGAACGGAACATTTTTACAAACAAATTTTTAATTTTTTCAGTTTTCAATAGAATTGGATCAAATTTGAGATATAGCCATTTTACTATACTCTACAATTTTGCATAAAATTTTATGAAAATCGGACTACTATATCATATAGCTCCCATAGGAACGATCGAGAAATAATACAATTAAATGTATAACTTTTTCAGTTTTCAGCTGATTTTCATCAAATTTGAGGTATAGCCATTCTATATTAGTCTTAAATTTTGAGTCAAATTTCATGAAAATCGGACGACTATATCACATAGGTGCCATACAAACGATCGTTAGATGTGGAGAAAAAATGGAAATCTGTGAATGTAAAACTGAAAATATAATATGTATAGGTGAATGAAATAAAGCAGGTATTACTTCATTGTCTTTTAATATTAAAATATATATGTTATATTGTATGGATTCCTAGACATCGAAGTTCTATCTGCAAGGGTATATAAACTTCGGTGTGCCGAAGTTAGCTTCCTTTCTTGTTTTTTTCTAATATATAATCAATAAAATTTAAAAAAAGTCTCTAATACATAAACTCCTGAGAATAAAAACTCTTAAAAAATATATGCTAAGAACTAATAAAATCTTAAAGATATTTCTTAACTATTTTACAAAGCTAAATGTCAACTTTAAAATTGAATAGCAACATTTCTCACCACTCCAATTCTCAACGATGGCATCGAGGACGAGATGTCGCAGACTTTTCGCTTGATTTGCCTGGCCTTCCTGGACTTCGCTGGGGTTCTGGCTGGTGTCCAATGATTTACCGCCGACTTTGGGCAACTTGACATCGGTGAGATTGAAATAGGCCTTGAAGGTGTCAATGGAAACGGTGCTGGGGAACTCGCAGTACGTGAAATCCATTTGAATAAATCTATGTAGTGTCTCAGGACATATAATACTGATACGGCTTGATGATAAATAATGTTTATTAGTCCGGACCGGGTTTTTGGCTGCCAAGGAAACGGTTGTCAACGAAATCCTTTCCTCAGTGTTGGAAGGAGGGGACTTTTAAAACACCAGTGTTGGTAAGGGTTGAACTAGACTTTAATCGTCTGTCAACTTGTTTTATTCAAATATTCTAAAAGCAATGGAATTTCAATTGGAATATCAAAGTTAACTTCACCTTAATACCTTAAATATTTTGAGACTTTTAAAGAGGTTTTTTCCTTTCAATGCGAATGCCAAGATTTCCCAAAATGTATAAGCAATAAGACTTTATTTGGGCACCGTTCGGCATTTGCATAACAAAGCAATTTTGGGCAGCGAGATAAGGCCTCAAGTGGCAAGCCGATTATGACCCTAATTACATGACATTACAAGTCAGCGTTTATCCCACTCACACAATCCACAGACAGGCCCCTTGGGTATATCAAAAATATTACTCGGCATCTTTCACAGCGGCCAATCAAGGCGGATATCTACCTGAGGATTAGGCCAGCTGACATGACTTGCGGTGAGCTTCTCGACTTTCTGGTGTAATTTTTACGGCTTAACTAGGACTTGGCGGCGTCTGCGAGAAATGCAAAGTATATTTACGCATAAACCGCGTTATTTATGTCTCGCCCAAGAATTAATAACCAACCCCGTCGCGATGGGCGCTCTGCCCTGATGCGCATTATTATGGCCAAATTATACACCTTATAAAACAGTTGCGCGTGTTTTTTTTTTCCGAAACAAAATTTTTATGTAAAGCAATTTATTTTGAATTATTTTTATGGCACTTAACGGTTGCGCTGCCTGCACACATTCCCAAAAAAAAGAAAAACCGAGGGTAGCTGACTAGTCAAAAATTGGTTTGTCATGGGTTAGGTTCAACTTTGTGGAGAAGCTGAGGGTCGGAGGTTGAATTCCAAAGAATCCTTTACGGTTATTGTGCGAATTCGATCGATAAATTATGGCAAATCGATGCGAATATTGACAGCAGTTTGGGTTGTCTGAATGATGGAGGATACTGAGCAAATGATAATATAAATAGATTGAAATTATTGGAATCACACGATTAGGATTCTTATTTGAATGGCCCCTTCATATTTCCAGTGATTTTAAATCTCTTTTTTATACCTTTGAATGATATTATAATTTTGGTCATAAGTTTGCAACGCATTGAAGGAGCAATTTCCGACCCTATAAAGTATATATATTCTTGATCAGCTTCAACAACAGTCGAAGTAACCATATTGGGCAAAAGGTCCTATAAGTTGGTAAGTTTCCCTTCTTGTTTTAATTTTCTTTTAATTGGGCCTCAGTTCATAAAATTTAAGTATAATAAATACGATAAAATGCGCATTTACTTATAGTTCATTATTTTAGAAGTTACCAATTTTATTTATATCTTCTGACACTAACCTCAAAACTCATTAGATTGTTTCGTTAAAAGTTTATTATCAAATTTATTAAGCAAGTAATAAAATTATTTAAATTAGTTGTGAAAAGATTCTCTTTCGCGGCCTTGCAATAAATCAGAAATCGTAACGTAAGTTAAGACCGGTGCCAAAATCAGACTTTCCGCGTCGAGGACCACTCAAATGGTGTGTGGCATTGCCCGTGGCATTCAGGTTCAGGTTGCCACTGGGCGAGGTGTAGAGATTGGCTCTGCCGGACGCCTGCATGGTGGTCACATCGAACTGCGGCACTCGACTGACCCCCACTGCCGCCTGGTGACCCGCCGTGGTGTGTAGATTGAGACCGCCCCCGAACTGATCGTGAGTGCGACTGTGGCTATGGAATCCGGTGGCGTTGAGAGTGGAGTCCGGGCCCTTGTGGAGATTAGCCTGGCCAGCAAAAGTGGTGGTGCTGCCCAAGCCCTCGATGTGACCATGCTGTACGGACAGGCCGTGTCCATTGCTATTTCATAGAAATAAGAAAATTTAATATTAATTTTAATTATTAATTTACAAAATTACTGAACTTACGCATTCACTGCTCCATAGACTCCCTTCGTGACCGGTCCACCTGTGCCGGGAGTGGAGGCAAAGACACCGGCACGTGCATTGGTCAGATCATCACCCACCTTTACTCCACACTGGGCGGTGGCCTGGCCGGTCTTGGGGTTTCCTGTCGCTTGGCAATCCATTTGAATTTAGTTATTCTTAGATATTGTCTTACTCCTTGGACTGTATCTTTTAGTCTGAATAATTTCGCAAAATCAACTTGCGCTTTTATAGCCTGATCTCTTTTGTCGCAAAAGTACCTCGTGGGTACATTCCCCCACGATTTTCTCCTCTCCAAGTGGACAGCTAATCAAGCTATGATACACAGCTATATGCATCTGTTTTTCCCCTTTGACAATTATGAATAAGATTGGAGGGGACTCCCTAATGTGCATATATACGCAAAGATACGAAATACAACCGCATAAAATAAATACAATAAAGAAAGGTTGATTTTTAAGTACATTTCATCAAAGTTTTTAGTAAAATGTTTTAAGTTTCCAACTTTTTGGCTACTTTTAACAAGAGCAAATATAATTAACAATAAAAAATGTTTTTTATCCGACATGAATAATACATTTTAAAAAGTAGTATTAAATTATAGTATGCTTTGAACCTAAAATATACAAAATATTTTGCAATATTATATATATCCCGTTGTTCTAGTAAGATCCATTCCGCATACATTCCAAGAAAACTATCTATGTTGAAAAGAGTAGAAGCAATTATCGCTCATTGAACACCCCAAACCAAGTGGCGCCGTGGCTTAGTTGGTTAAAGCGCCTGTCTAGTAAACAGGAGATCGTGAGTTCGAATCTCGCCGGGGCCTTCACAAGATTTAAGTGATGTACGTTTTTTATTATTTATTTTTAATTAGGATACAAATTTTTTAACATGCATTTTCTAATTTTAACTGTTTAAAATGGTCTCACTTTTTTACTGCTATTGTTATTTTTGGAGTAACCGATAGATACTTTTGGTAATAAATTCACCTATTTAATTTTTAATGGTCATATAGAATGTATTTTTTTTTCTAGTTTAACTATTCTAATTAAATTAATTAATTGTGAGTATTTTTGGTATTTTTTATTATGTCTATGTGATTCTTCTAATCAAGTTTCAAAATTTTCGACTTTACCGCAAGAGGCGCCGTGGCTTAGTTGGTTAAAGCGCCTGTCTAGTAAACAGGAGATCGTGAGTTCGAATCTCGCCGGGGCCTTCAAGCTGCACAAGATTGTTGTGTGTGTGGAAAGTACTTTTTTTAGTTCGATTTATTTTTCTGCCGCACATTCATTGCACTACGTTGCAGCTGTCACTCCTCGAGCCTTCGACTTGTTGAGACCCGGATAATGGGGGAAAAACTCTCGTTTTTCTTTTGTACGTCTGCCCGATGACAGCTGACAAAAAGTTTGGCCTGCGTAAACAGTGGCAACGGATTCTGCCACCCACGCGCACATCCTCCGGCCCACCTACGTCCACCTGTTGTTGTCCTTGCAACGGCGTTGCATAACGGAAACGAACGGCGCTGTCCGCCGGAAATGTTCGACAGCATGTTGCGATGTTGTCCACCGCAAGGAGAATAAAAAAAGGGAAAGAATGCCCGCAGATGCGAGGACGGCGCATATTTGCCTTGCAAATGGAACGAACGGCTTTTCAATTTCATTCGCTTTCCCAGAGAAGTGCCCCTCGCAGGGACTCCCTGCAATTAGCCGGCAGTCAGCTTATTTGTTTCAATTTATTTACATGCACTCGCCGTTGCCTCTGGGGCTTATCTTGCTTTTTTATACTCAAACGCACTCAAGCCCAATGGGCGCTTTATTTGTATATTTATAATTATGGAACAATGCAACAGAAACCAACTTCAGACAAGCTGAACAAAGTTGCCGACAGTTGAGGTAAAAATAATATGAGACATTGGCAAGTGAAAGATATAATTTTATAATTTATATTTCTAAAATAAATAATTTTTGATAAGAATAATGAAAGGTATTCCAACAATTTCGTCAAATTAATCTTCAACTTAAATGAGCTACTTTTGGAGATATTAATCTGAAGCAAAGTTAAAAGCATTTCCTAAGTCCCAAAGAACAATGTTTTGTATTTTTCCTATATATATGTATTAATAACTATTAACTTAACTACAGCTGTACATCAATACATGTATCAGGGGTATAATATGAATTTTATGAATTTAATTTCCAATGTCCTGTCTGTTGTGTTTTGTAAGTCGGATACGGCAATGTCCTCTTCTAATTTCCTCTCGAGAATTAATAGTTGTGTGTGTTTCTGCTGCGGACTGGATGCTGGTTGGCTTTCACTTATCGGATATGATAGTTGCCCGGTTAGCTCCATTTGATGATCTCAAACTTTTGGCAAACTCACAAAAATAATCCGTAATATTTGCCCAGACTTTACCCCCAACCAATATTAGCTTAGTGCCCGCCCCGACATGTGTTCCTATAACCATACATACATATGTATATATATACAATTATTTGGAAGGTTCCCTCCCAAAAAAATCCCCTAGGCAGACCTCATTGTCACCCCAAAGATTTTAGCAATTGTCAGCAATTTTCTCAACGGACTGCACAAAAACTATCGCACACAACCACTAAGCAAATGTCCCTCGTCCAACCGATGTGTGTGCTGTGTATTTTTCTGATTATCCTGGACGGAGAGCCCACACACACACACCACACACACACGCACACACCCAGTGGGCGTGCACATGGCATAGGCATTAACATAATTTATGTGGTTCCACCGGATTTGGCTTTGTCGTAAAAAAGGACACTCGGCCATTGTCCATTGTCCGTTTCGTGCTTCGATAACAAAGGCAAAGTCCGGTTGAGGATTGTGGTTTTTATTGTTTTGATGGCAACAAAGTTTATGGAAAGTTTCGCCCTCTTAATTCGTTTGTAGTTTTTCCGTTGAGTTTGCATATTTTTTTAATTAAATGATTTTTCGGGAATGGAGAGAAATCAAATGGTCGCAGGCTAATCTATGTGGCCATTATTCACATTTTCCAAGGATGGTTGGTTCGGGGGCATAAGAAGTGCTCATGGTAGCCAGCCATAAAAACGTGCGAAATTTTCACGGGCGCGTGAATTTTCTCAGCCCTTAGTAGGGGTTCTTGTTTTTGTTTTTCCAGACACGGGCGGCCTGCTCTCCCCCCTTTTCACCTCTCACTGATTGTTGTCACCTGTTTTTTGCACACTTTATTCGCAAGGCCTCCAGGACGATGCGGGTTTTTCTCTGCGAGCTGGTTCTACATATGTATATATTTGGAATATCCTTTGGCGGTACAGCTTGGCAGGGTGTTTCCTTGTCGCATAATCGGTGAGTTGATAAGTGTCCCGATTGTTAGTACACCTGGCACGCAGAACTCATAACTCAAATCGTTTTTTGTTGTCCTCACAGAAAGTATGTAATGTGGCAAAATAAAATCATGCGGCAAAGGTAAAAAACCTAAAAGAAAAGTTTTTTGCTTTTAATAATAAAAAATTGCTGACACGTGCGGGTTTGTCGTGAAAACGAAATTCTAGGGTGCTAAATCTGTGGAAATTTTGTACATTCAGGAAAATGCTGTTTATAAGTTAATTACTTTTTAGTTTAATTTATAAAAAAAATGTTTTCCATTTTGGAGATGCGGGGTATCGATCCCCGTACCTCTCACATGCTAAGCGAGCGCTCTACCATCTGAGCTACATCCCCGACGTGGGCGGTGCTGCATATTTCGCGTCTTGAGAGGCCACGCCTCATCGAGTAATGCTGTCACATTGGATAAGATTAGTTTTTGGGCCTTTTATTGTATTTATATAAATAAAAGAAAAGTATTTCTCCATGTCTAACACATATTGTATATAATGATTTATTTAAGAACTATGTTTTTATGATAAATAATTTCTATTCAGGCAAAATATATCTCATACTTATACGTTTACCTATTAATATTACTTAGAGAATTTATTGTAGTTCATAAGTTTGAAATACTTAAATTCACAATCTTTTTATTTTTTTTTAACCTTCGTTTTAATTGAATTTTTTGTTATTAAATTACATTTGTAACTTTTTAAACAATACAGTTTACTAATTTTAGGTGTGACCCAATTTTAGTAGCTAGCCTGGACACCTTGAAGTCATATAATTTAAAAATCTTCATGGTTTGTTGGCTTTAACTAAGTTACAGCACTCGAATGTTCATTACAAGGCCCATTAGGCGCCAGGTCTTCATTCGACTGCTCCAGTTTGGGAGTTTGGGTTGGAGAAGATCGAAATTGGCAGCAGTTTACTTGGAGGCTTTCATCGATGCAGTTGGAAAGATGTCAGTGCTACAGTTTGTGTTTCTGTTAATCCTGGCGACCAGCAGAAGTGATTTTGTGGAGTCTGAGGCTGATCCTGATCAGATCTAGATGCTTCCGGACCGGAACCCATCGACGGGCGTTCGTTCTTCTTTCTGGGAACCCTGTTCCGTCGCTGGCGCAATCGTTGGATGGCCTATCACCATCCGGATCCGCTGTTTGCCGGTCCCGCCTATCCCATATCCGGGTATTACAATTGTCCCATCTATGGTTGCAACCCGGCGGCCATTGGTCCGCAGCCTGGCTTCTATACCGCTCCCGGTGGATTCTACACCACGCCCTGAATCAGCAGCAGGCTCAAGGAAACAGCAACGTGTATATTTACCAGAGCGATCAGAACTCGCTTCAGCGGGAATCCCTTGGGTTATGGATACTTTGGCGGTGGATTGCCACCACGACCGGGAGCGCCCTTGCCTCCGCCTCCTTCTCCTATCTTGCCGCCTTCGACTATGGGCGTGACATCGGCCAGTGCCGGTGGGTATAACCTCGGACCTTCAGCGGGAACAGGACAACGTCCAGTACCTTTACCAATACCGCTACCACAGCTAGGATGAACCGGAAAACAAGGAGCCTGAGGAAACGCTCGCCTAAGTAAACAACGCAGACAAAGTAAAAGAAAACAATACAATTTTAATTGAAAAGTGTGCTCAAAAAAAAAAGGAAGATGAAAGATATACACTCAAACTTATCATTCTCTAAATGCAAGCCCCATAAAAAATCTTCAAATAAATGTGTTGTTCCTAATACCAAACTAAAATTAAAGATACAAGTTTTTTAATAATGAAAAAATCAAACAATTATTATTAAAATTTAAAGAATTTGTTCAATAAGGTTTGCTGCATGTTTCCATCTTCAGCTCCTGCTCCATTTTAAGAAAAGAATTGAAATAAATAAGAAATAAAAAAAAGGTTTAGTTCTTAAATGACAAAACTGCAACTATAAATAAAATTCATTTTCATAGTACTCTAAACCTTCTCCCAGCTAGTATCAATAAAATGAAACGAAAAACCATTGAGATGTGCAATTAAAATCATTTTGTTGACATTACCAACTAGATTTCGAAAGTGGCCCAGCGTTTCCTCAAAAATGGACTAAAAGGGTTACCCACGCACACACTCACATGTCCATTTATCCATTAACGCCAAAGGAAAAACTCCACAAGCAATCTGCATAAACAAACTCATCATCATCATCAGGATCCTTGGCATCGAAAGGATGAGCTCGGGCTACGATGCTGCTCCGGCATTTGTTTTGATTCCATCATAAACCATAAGATAGCTGCCGTCGAGGACGAGGACGAGGATGGCTGATGAAGTGGTTGCAAGCTGTCCAAGGAGCAGGAGAACGATTCAATTGTTTGGCAAATAAATGCCCGGCAGCATAATGGATGGCCCTGGTCAGCTTCGTTCGCCGTAGCCGCAGCCGCAGCCTCTGCCTCGGTGTCGCTCTGTTATTATTTTTATATAACTTGCGAAAATAATAATAGAGCCTTGCCCATGCCCAGAGGGGCGTGGCCATAACAAACAAACAAACAAGTGCGCCAAGCAAGCGACAGTTGAATAAACAGAAGTGTGAAAGTGCAGATAGTGGACGGATCTGGCAACTGGGATCGCAGATATGTAGACCGGCAATGGTATCTGCTTTCCCACATGTTAAGGCGTTGACTCCTTTCCATCTCAGTCCATTTCCCTCCGAGCACGAGTTTATTTGTATTTGTCCTGTGGCAACAATGTCCCCAGACCCAGTTGCCAGGTGTTTGTGTTTTCTTTCGGGCAACTTTCACTGACCGGAAACGGAAATTAAATGCATAAGTTGGTTTCAACATACCCGCATTGCGTGTTTCTTATCTAATTTCAAACAGACAAACACACTCAAGGCTGAAAGTCGATATCTTGGTCAAAAAACAAGTTTTGCTTGTGGCCATCAGCAGAGTAAATGCTTACTCAAGCATAAACATAACGATGACTCACAAGAAGACTATTTGACACAACATAGCACATCGGGGATGTAGCTCAGATGGTAGAGCGCTCGCTTAGCATGTGAGAGGTACGGGGATCGATGCCCCGCATCTCCAGAAAGTGTATATTTTTTTCTGTCTTATTTTTAAATTTAATTAATTACAAAATTTAATTACTTTTAAAATTAAAAAATAAAAATAAGAAAAAAAAAGAAATATCGACGGGCTCAACCGGGATTTGAACCCGGGACCTCTCGCACCCAAAGCGAGAATCATACCCCTAGACCATTGAGCCGCTTGGCAGCTGCTATGCAATTTGCACATTTGAGTTTGTGCAGCGATATGGCAATTTGTTTTGCAAAATTATTCGTATTTTTTCAATAAGTCAAGAAAATTGATCCTAAAAAATTTAACTAAAATAGAGGGCTTATTTTTAAAGGCAATTAAATAAAAAGAATATCCTTGGAGATGCGGGGTATCGATCCCCGTACCTCTCACATGCTAAGCGAGCGCTCTACCATCTGAGCTACATCCCCTTGTGCCAAATATCCAGCCAAAGTGAAAACAAGCCGGGCATTAGTTTTTTAACATGAATTTTAATTTAATGGTCAATGTCAACAACTTAAAAGACTAATCTCGAAAACATTTGCAAATAATACTTGGGGAATTCCACAGCTCTTGAGCTTAGCCATAATATCCGCCGCCGTAGGGGTTGCCGAAGCCACCGCCAAAGCCGCCACCCGGATAACCGCCTCCCAAGCCTCCAGTATAGCCGCCACCAAAGACGCCCGGATATCCGCCGCCGTAGCCTCCTCCGTAGGGAACTGGCACTGGGTAGGGCTGAGGCACGGGTTGTGGCTGTGTCGGTTGCCGCCCAAAAGACCGCCCAATAGGTTGAAGGGAAAGAGACCGCCTCCGCCACCGCCGCCACCTCCCAGGAGACCTCCTCCTCCGCCGCCCAGCAAATTTCCCAGGATGCGGTTATCCACCTGTCCACCCGTGGGCTGAGCTCCAGTTCCCGGGGATGGAGATGGACGCTGCTGTGGATACTGATACTGGGCCAGGCAACAGGCGCAGAGCGACAGGAGCACCACCAACTAGAAAACGTGAAAGGAATCTATAAGGAATCATTCGTAAAATAGAATCGGTTGCTTCCACTCACCGAAGATCTGATCTTGACCATCTTTCTGAATTGTCTTGAACTAAACTGACTTGCTTGGCCAACGAGTGTTTCAGTTTTTATACCAAAGTTCTAAAAAACCCACGCCCACATGGTCCCGGAACACGGCAGACGGACGACCTTCAACCCACTGAACTTAACCGAATTCAATGTTTTTCTCACGATTAGTTATATTTTGCTTGCCTTAGTTGATGCGACTAAAAATTGGCACAATAAAATCGATGGGCTAGAGAACTGGTTGTGGATCAAGTTTTTTTTGGCAGTTCTTTGAACTCGTCGCGAAAAGGAAGTACAGGAAGTGCTGGAGGTTTCTATAAATACGGCCGTTCTCGACTTGGTCATGCTTAGAACACCGGACAACATGGGAACAAGCACGGTGAGTGGTCACATGCCTTCCTTTCATATCTTACTCTTAGTTGACAGATGATGTACTTCCCCCGGCAGATATCGATACTGAGTCTGTCTCTGATGCTTTGCCTGGGCCTGGCCCACTCCCACGGCTTTGGCGGAAAGTTTGGCGGAGGCCATGCACCAGTCTATAACAACTTTGTGCCCTATCCCGTCGTTCAACCCGTTCCAGTTCCCCAACCCGTACCTGTTCCAGTGGCCATTCCACAGCCCATTCCGGTGCCAGTGCCCCAGCCCGTGGTGGTGCCCATCAAGCATGGTTGGAAAGGGGGATTCGGTGGTCTAGGCGGTGGATTCGGTGGATACGGCAGTGGCTTCGGTGGCGGCTTTGCAGGCTCTCAGAGCTACGCCTCCTCTTTTAGCTCTGCCAGCGCCTTTGGCGGCGGCTATGGCGGCGGCGGCGGTATTTTTAAGAGACGTTAAACGTATTGCCTAAGTATTCAAAACAATATATACATTTATCTTTGTTGACACCACCTGAAGCGATAATTTATTTTTGTGTCTTTCGAGACAGATGGTTTCGCTCTATTTTTGTCTTCTTGATTTTTCACAAGCCAAATTTTTTGCGGTGTCTGGAAACTGCAAAGCAGCCATCGGCTAGACATGAGGCTCAATGGTCTAGGGGTATGATTCTCGCTTTGGGTGCGAGAGGTCCCGGGTTCAAATCCCGGTTGAGCCCTGTGATACTTTTTTTTGTTTTATATACTATAATTCCTAAAGGATTTAATTTTGGATCTGTAAAATAAGTTGCAAACATAATTTAAAACAAAAGTCTAAATATAAACGACGCTGGAAATGTGCGGTAAATATTGAGTTTGAAAACTAATATTTCTATACTCATGTCAATAATCTTATAGATATTTTATGCTCTTGCAAGTTAAATATAATGTTTTATTCAAACTTTCAGACTTTGAGCTTATCTGTCCATCTAAGCAAAAATAATGATGATAAATGGGTCCAAAAGTAAAAATTTGTTCCTAATCTAATGCATACAAAATATATTTTCTTGATTAGGGAATATTACAAAATAATTATACTTCTCTTGACATTAGTTATTTTTACTATGCAAAACATATTTAGAATAGTTTTGCTCGAGATATTTATTTATTTATATAAAGCTAGAGGTTGGTTGTAAACTAAAGGCTAACATAGGATATTGAGCATTGGCTGCTGTGGCCTACCGCTCGATTAAATATATACAGATTTTAATATTATACAAAGGACTTAAAGGCTAGATTTTGTTAGGGTGCTCGAGATATATTTATATCGTAACCAATAAAAATCTACAAAATAGTATAGAATTTAAAATAAAAAATGAAAGTAAAAAAGTTTCTCCTGTTTCCGCCCGGGTTCGAACCGGGGACCTTGTGCGTGTGAAGCACACGTGATAACCACTACACTACGGAAACCTTCTTAAGTTTAGAAGTAAAACAAACACCATGTCCCAGAAATTGTGGCGCCATCTGTGTTTCGCTTGATAGTTCACACTGCTTCACCGAACTTAGAACTGCTTGCCGACTGCACCCGTAAGAACAGCACAGACGCAAACCTGATTGTCGAATTCAGGCTTCCATTTGTTATAACAGTTATTTGCTATTTTATTTTATATATTTTGTATTATAGTTTCAGTCAGAAGTTTGCAACACAGTGAATGTGAATTTTATGAGCTAAACAAATTATGCATACCTGTGTCGCAGGGATTATGTAGTAAAAAAGAACAGCGCCACCATTTGAAAGATTTTTTTAAGCAAAATACTTTAATTGTAAGTTCAGACCACGTACAGCAAGATCCACAATTAATCGTCTTTGTTTTTATTTACAGATGAGCAGATTTTCATATGCAGAAAAACATGCTTAAATAAATAACACAACAAAATTACACCAATTTCGTTTAATAAATTGTATTTAAAATAAAATCAGCGATAAATTTTTCTGCATAATTATTAAAAAAAAGAACTATTACTAAACTACCTACGATTCTTATACCTTTGCTTAGGGTAATCTGTTATATAGAATCAGTTTTCCAAAGCTTCTTTTTAACCGCTTTTTCATTTTAAAATAAAAGAAAATAATTACACTTTATGGAACTACATTTTATTATGTATTTAATGGAATAATGAATTATTACTAAATAACAATAACTTTGGATTCTAATGGCAAGTTATGATTTTTCACTAATTCTATTGATAAGTTTCTATTTTCCCCACAGACCGCCCCCGAAGTCACCACCCCCGTATCCGGATCCGCCGCTGTAATGGCTTTCATGGTGATATTCATGGTGCTCATAGCCGCTGCTTCCGCCGTGGCCTCCGCCAAAGTTTCCACCGTAGTCTCCGCCCAAACCGCCTCCAAAGCCACCGCCGTATCCGCCTCCATAGCCTCCTCCGCCATATCCACCTCCGCCTCCGCTATGGACACCAGCCAATCCAGCGCCCAGCTTGGCACCCACAGCTGCTCCGAGTCCGAAGCCGGCTGCTCCACCAACCAGGCCGCTTTTAAGTCCCAGCAGCTTTGGGGTGCGTGCCTTAAGAGCCACAAATCCAGCATGTGGTCCCTTGAAGGCCAGTAGCTTTATTTTGCCGGCAGAGGCGTCAGGTACGAGAAAGAGAAAACATAGTCCCAGGATTAGGACCAGATGATGCCGCTGTAATTTAAATTAGGAAAATTTTTTAATATATTTATTTATATTGTGGTACACGGCTTTTGTAAATTAATCTTTGAACTTCAAAAATTGCTTCTTTTGTTATTTAAATTATTTTAATTTGTTTTGAGGTAATTGAACAGTATCAGTTAAGCTATCAAATGTAGTTTTGAAGCCAAGTATACTGTAGTTTTTAGGTTTATATATTAAACATGTTTTCTATTCTTTTAAGGGGTTTTAACCTTTGTTTTAACTTTATTAATACACACAATACAAAATACACACAAGTACATATTTTCTCATTAAAATCCTTCACTTCAAAATCTATCACTTACAATGATTTGCATGTTTTTACTGTTTACTGGTTTTTTTAACGAGACTTTAATTGATTAAATCTGTTTTTGGAGATTGAGCACAGGTCTTTAGTTTTGTGAAAATTAATATATCTGCTTGTAAAAACTTCAAGTTCAAATGTGTGGGCCGATGACGAAGCTGGTCGCTCTTGGCTTAAACTTGGACAACGACGCGTGTTCAATTGAAGCGCCTGCGCGCCAGGCAAAGCGTTTTTATCTCGCTGACGCGTTTTGTGCGCGATTCGAAAATCGCCCTTATGCAATCAGCCGTTGAAGAGCTCTCTTGTTTGTCCCAGAGCCTTTGTTGTTGTTTTTGCTGATATGAACTTCAGGTTGTGGTTTATATTTGACTTATGCACATGATTTGCCCCTGAAAATTTCAGGTTTTTTGAGAGCAAAAAGTGAAAAATAAAGAAGAAAAAACGTGAACATGTGAGGAGAAATGAAAAAATTGAATGAACTGAATCGAAAATGGATGTCAGTGGGAAATATGATTAACAATGTGCCAATTTAGAAGCTTAAACGTATATTCACCAAGCGCCCTTGTACTATTTTTTCCAGAATCTATGCAAATATCAGAGTGAACCAAAGTCCAAAAGCTAATGTACAAATAGAAAAATTAATGCACAACACACCACCACGCACTCAGGTGAATCATTTTGGGTATTTACGTTTTATTGACCTCCATCAAATTAAAAGCCAAATAAAGAAATCAAACAAAACAGAGGCAGAAATTTCCAGCAGTTACGAGCAGTTTTTTCCCCCGCTCATCTGCCAAATGGATATCCGCCATAGCCAGAGGAGCCATAGTTGTTGTAGTTGCTGAACTGATTGAACTGCTGTCGAAATCCGCCGCCATATCCTCCGCCAAATCCTCCATATCCTCCATACCCTCCGTATCCTGGATATCCGAATCCATGATATGCTCCGGCACTGCTACTCGCCGCAGCACTTGCCGAGGCATAGCTTCCTCCATATCCTCCGCCATAGGGGAGAATCCATAACCAAACTGGGGGGCACCCCACACTCCGGCAGCACTCAGGCAGCAAACCAGGAAAGACAATGTGAAAAACTGCAAAATAGTTGGAGAATAATAAAAATTAGCGACTCAGTCTAAGTAGTTCCAGCTGTCGTTGATGTTACTCCCACCTTCATGGCTGACGAACTACTCAATGGCTTTGGATTAAAGTTTGGCATTCTTATAGTCGCCGAAAAAACGGAAGTAAAGTTTGCAGTAATTATATTAATGAGATTTAGCATAATTACAGAACAAATGCGAGACCATAATCATTAGTACAGAGTAACTTAGTGCGTGCGATTATAGAACTTTGAATATTATGCATATTTGTTTGTATTTCTTGATGGTTCATTAACCTGTGTTCTATTAGTATATTACATAGGTAGTTGGCATCAGTAAATGATTATGCTTAACTATTTGACTTAGTGATAAAATAAACTCTGGATACTCAATAACTAATGAAGTTGAACTCTCTATTAAACTTAGTGATAAAATTAGCTCTGGATGTAGGTGAAAAGGTATGGTACAGAAATGGTTATATTAAATTATTTATTGATACAATGCTTCCTTCAAATACTTAAAGTACAGATAGAACTTAGATCTAGACTGATTAACTAAATAACTTTACTAATGAGATTAATATCAAAGATCCCGAAAACCCTGCTTATATCTATTTCAAGTTTCATTAAAATTCAAGACAACTTGTCAACAATTTCATCCCGGTCACAGAACCCATTGAGTCTTGATAAATTTACCTGTGAACATCTATCATACTCGTATATCTTTCCACGCTGTCATCGAATCTAACTACAATTTCCTGACTAGTCAAGATGTGGGTTGGTCTTGGTCTCACTTTGGTAACTCCACTGACGTCAGCTTGAGGTGAATAAACTGAGAGCGAAAGTGAAGGCGTAACAATTGACCAGAATACACAAACAATAGTATACATATATATACTTATATCAGACATGTAGTTAGTCATATAGTAAGATCTGCCGGAATAGCATCAGTAACAAGTGCTAATGAGCCAAACAAATGCGGGGCGGACATATCGCTCCCTCCCGACCTGCTTCGCTGCACGTTCATCGTCTGAGTTCGTTGTCGAAGTCTTTTGTTTTTTCGGCTGTCAGTGGATCGTGTTGACTTTAAACACCCTAACCAAGGGTGGCTTCTTTCGATATTATTGATGTTCGACATAAGATAAGGAAATTTGTAACAAGTTAAGACCAATTTGCACAGTTATCAGCAAGTATTATCTTAGTTAATGGGTTACATATGGGTACTTGGCAGGAGCTAGATTTTTCTTTACCCATTAACACATTTTATTTATTTAAAAGAAGCAAGTTTAGACTTAATAATTATTATTATTTATTTTGTATATATTTAAAGCCTTTCTATATTTATTTAGAGATATCGAATGACAGATTTTTCTCTTATTAAATTCCAAAATAAGCAACGTCATGCTGTGGGGTAGGGTACCACTTTAATCGTCATAGTTCCGCCTATTCCGGTTGGTCTTGAAAATCGCCGGTTGATTGTAGTAAGCCATCGCTTTAGTGATTATTTTTATTGGGTTTTCCACGATCTTGATCGGCCGGCAACTAACTAAAGGTAACCCTCAAAAAAAGAAAAAAAATTATAATTTCGGTTTTGGGCCGTGGCTGAAATGCTTCGTAGCCTCAAAAATTAACGCGTTCTGAGACCCAGTGGAGCATCGCCAGATAAATGTATTGTCGCTCGGCGCTGTCTTGATTTTTTGGGGGGATTCCGAGATTTCGTCACAAACTGGTTTCGCTTTCGCTCTGTTTGTTCTGCAATTTGCGTAGAATCACTTGGCAATGCGTGGCGCGTACTTGGGGCTTCTTGACCAGATTGGAGCTGAGGTATAAAAGCAGCGGGCACTCCACAATTGCAATTTAGTTTTGTCCAAGAAGCGCTCGTTACCGCAATGGCTGTCGTTCGTGTTAGTTGTGTAAGTCCGGTTTCCGATTGTTTCGGAGTGCACTCACTCATTGGTCATTTGGTTGTATTGCAGGTGCTGGCTCTTCTGCTGATCGCTGGTCAAGGTCAGGCGGCGCCCGTCAAGGCCGAGGGCCGTACCCTTGGCCTGCTGGGAGGTGGATTCGGTGGCAGTGTTGGCCTAAGCGCGGGAATTGGAGTGGGCGGCGGACTGTATAGCGGCTTTGGAGGAGGTGGCTATCCCGGAGGCTATGCCAGTGGCTATCCGGGCGGATATGGTGGCGGCTATTCCGGTTATCCTGGCTACGGAGGCGGTGGCTTCGGAGGTGGTTACTATCCAGGAGGAGGCTACTCCGGCTTCGGGCACAGGCCTCATCATCATGGGGAATACTACCCCGGCGGCGGCAACTACTACAATCAGGGTGGATCGTATGGCGGCCACTATAGCCAGTCGCAGTTTTCCAATGGATACTACAACGGCGGTGGCTATGGAGGCGGTGGCTTCTTTGGCTGATGAAGCTTTTAACCTGTGATCCAGCTGCCTAGTTAAGTACTCGTGATTCGCACTTTGATTGTACAATACACAACTATAAAAAAATAGCAAAACAGCATAAACCAGAAATAATAAGCTCAATTTAAGACAATCGAAATCCGGTTTCTGTACTGGGAATATTGTCCTTGGCGATGTTTTTGTGGCTCTTCTCTCACTGACTTTAATGAAACAAACGCGACCTGCATAAATTTAATGGCCATAGTTCCGAGATTTATGAGCAAGCATGACTAATCCATTGCCTGGATATAATCTGGGGAATTCCTCGCATCCATCTAGTTGGGAGGTAAAGTGCCCACAAAAAGGGGAAGCAAAGTTGGGCAATCACAAAAGGTTTTTTATTATTGTGAGATAATAAATATCCATGGGTTGACAGTTCTGATAAATAATCATGAAAAGTGGAATATATCATTAAGACTTTTCGGTTTATCCTAATTTATTTTTACCGATTATCGTTTTACAAAATTCGTGCTTAATTTATTTCTTACGATTTATTTACATTAACACTACTTCGCTAGGAGTATAAAGATTCGATTGATATTGCCTATCCGTAGCTGCTTCGCTGACTCCTGTATGCTCCAGTCTGGTAAACTGGCTGCACTTGACCCGTAAGCTGCTGGATAATTCCGTTGACTGTTGTGGCCACGCCTCCGACCAATTGGGCAGGTGTCACAGGTGGCTAAAATAAATATAGAACATGAAGTTACGGCTCAGATAAACATATTTATTTAAGCTTATAGGGTTTCAACTTACCGCTCCAGCTGAATCGTAGTATACACGATTCGGAACAGGTCTCCGCACTGGCACTGCTGCCCCTCCGTAGCTGGGATCCACTTCAGGATCGCTCTGTAGATCCCCAGCAGCCGAGGCAGGACGAACAGGATCCCTCAGAGGATCCCTCAACGGGACACCGGGCACTGTGGCAGATTGCAAGATTCCAGGAGCGAAGAGCGACAGCCAAGTGGCAAAGGGAGCATAAGGACGCACTGGAACTGGCACTGGAACTGGAGCAACAGGGGGAATGGGATCCGAAAGAAGGCCTCCACCGCCGCCGCCAAATCCTCCTCCGCCGTAACCACGACATCCACCCGGGTAGACCTTGACCACGTTCACATCGAAAAGGAAGCGACCCTGCTCATCGGGATCCTTTTGACCGCCCTTGGCATCGCGACCAAACGGGTAGCATGGATTGCCTCCGTAGCCTCCATATCCGCCATAGCCTCCATATCCACCGTATCCTCCGAGTCCGCCGTATCCTCCCAAGTACGGACGCACCAGCCTCTTGAGTTTCTTTTTGAGCAGCAGTGTGCGTTCATCGCCAGACTCATCTAGTTCCTGGTTGGCGGCTCCTGCGAACTTGGCGTTCTCCTTGTCCGACTTGGTGGTGGTGGTGCTCTCCTCCCTTGCCTTGCGACTGTTCAGGGAATTGTAAGAGTTACCGGAATACGAACCGGGGGAATAGCCCCTTCTGCGCGGATACTCGTAACTGTAGGTGCGCGGATAGGCCAACGAGTAGCCCAGGGCTCCCAGGAGGAGTAAAAGGAACAATTGCATGTTGAAGACGCGAATCGAATACCGAAAGACTTCTGCACGCTCGAAGGGATGGGCACAAACTATTCCTCTAATGCGGAGTACGCCCCAACTTATCACCTTGGCCAGCGGCGTGCAAAAAACAAAAAGCCAACTCGCATTTGGCAAATTAGTTGCTATTCCCTTAGAAGGCAGCCAGACACCGGCGATTGCATAATGCCCTTTTTTATTGGCTCGCATTTTTCCAGAGCATTGTTTTGCTATGGTAATTCAGGCCGCCCACCCATGCCACCGCCGGCATCATCATCATCATCATCGCCAGTATAATCGCCCACATGGCCCAATAATGGCTAGGGAAAAAAAACATGTTACACTCGGCGACTCATGTGCATTGACCTGAACCAGCAGCGATGGAAGCTCTCACCCGTCGCTGTTTTGGCCAAAATAACAAACACATTTCTGCCAAAAATGTAACCCGAAAGTGGGTCAATGTCGTGCTGACTTACTGCACCGAATGCTGCTGATCTGGGAAACAAGCCGCTGCCTAATTAGTAGTGAGGGGAAGTACGGATGCTGCTGCCATTAATCAATTTTCTCTTTCATTTTGAGACACTATTTCTCAGACAGAATCCAGTGACAAGCTAATTTATATCACTTAAATTAAATGTAAATAATAGCTTTAAATTACAAAATGTTTCTCTTAAAACAAAAGATATTCCATATAGAAAACTGACTAACAAACTGCCAAAATGGGCTTGATTATGAATCATTTCTTTAAACTTTAAATCAATCTACATATATGGTTAAGTGAAATCAAGTTTTATAAGGATAATTTGTGATATTAAGATAATAAATAATGATTCAGTAAGGTATGTTTAAAAATAAAAGGGACAGGAAGGTCTAGAACCTTTTAAAAAAAACTATCTCTTTGCAACTTAAAAAATGTTTAATATTATTATTGTTAATTTTTAAGCACATAATTCTTTTTGGAAACCCCTTGCGGTTAAGATACAAGTATACATTCAACTTAGAACTAGGAAACAAAACTGTACAATCTGGGGAGCTGCCTCTATTTGGGCTTCGTCGGAAGTGCGATCCGCCATGAGCTGATATCAGTACACTAAGTTGGGCTGAGCTAGGAAGTCTGTGCGTTACATTCGAGGCATGTCCATCCCCCACTCCGGTTAGACAGCCATTTTCGGTTTGTTGGCCTCGGCCCGCTTGCGTATGGCACGCATGCGCTGGTTGCAGTAGACCCTCAGGAAGATCGCCACAAAACGATGAGAACGCCGAAGATGCCCAGCACCGAAATGCTGTGCTGGTAGATGAAGCAGGAAAGCATGATGGCCACGGCCTGCGGGATACAAAAATAGAATACCTCGTGAGCACGCAGTTGAGTAAACAAACCCGAATTCCCGAATTAACTCACCTGCCGCAGCGTCATTATAATGGTAAACACAACTGGGCCGAATACATCGATTGTGTGATAGATGAACAATTGGCCGACCGCTGAGCAAATGGAAAGCACAACCATGTCAAACACAAATTTGGGATGCTGGAAGTAGATGGAAATAACGTGAGGTAGGATTTATCTATTAAACTATAATTTCACAGACTTACCTCTGTGGCGAATGTCAACGAGTCCATAAATCCGCCCTGCATCGTCAACGAGGCTCCGGTGAAGATGGAAGAGAACAGATTGACGCCGCACATCATCTGCAGGGAGGTCATGCCGTAGCTCTTGAACAGCGATCCCTGCCAGTTGGCGGTAAAGCTGTCGAAGACCATGTACATCGACAGCAGAAAGATGCCTGTGAGCGTGGTCACCCCGCTCGCCTTGCTGCTGTCCGCGGAGCCGCTCATGAAGAAGATCATGCCCAGTGAGATAAGCAGTGCTGTGGCGTACTCGTAGGTCTCGTACTTGGCCTTGGACATCAGTTTACCCATCAGCATTACGGGTATGATCTTGCAGGATTTAGCCAGCACTTGAGTGGGAAAGTTGACGAACTTCAGGGCCTCGTACTGGAACCAGGCACTCATTATATTGGAGAAGGAGGCGTAGGAGTATTTGTATAGCGGAGCACGATGTCTAATGGGCGAGGGCTGCCACTGCAGGTACGCAAGGGCCACGAAAAAGGCAAGCAGGCGATTGGCAAACACCAGGAACTGGGAGTCCTTGAACTTGGCGCTCTCCCCGGCAAAGTTGAGGTAGTGCTGGGTCATAATCTTCTCCTGGAGCACGCCCCAGGTGAGATAGGAGACCATTAGGCCGCCGAAGCACCATAATAGCTGCACTGCTTCCTGGGAACTCGTCCGTTTCGGCGCAGCAGACACCGCCGGTCGCTCTCTATCCGCCGAACTGCCTCCAGCGTCCAGCTGATCGTAGCTGGAGTTACCCGTGATGCACATGTTTATGGCCTTGTGCAGGCAACTCTTATTGCCTCTTCCAGATAGTTGATCCTGCCCACATATTTGTAGATGAGGTAGCCCGGCACAAAGACGCAGCTATAGCCGAAGCAGTTGACCAGGAGTTTCAGCAGCCAGGCGTAGTCCGAACTTTGGGCTTCTACCAGCTGCGATAGCGTCACATCCTGGTTGTAGTAGCCACCTAGGGAGGCGCGTAGTAAATCCGAAAAGAAGTGAATGACCAGCAGGCTGACCACTATGACGGAGCTGCCAGAAGAGTAAATATAAAAAAGGTTAGCTCCACTTTGGGAAGTTGTGAAATATACAAACCATATGACCAGCTCGGGAACTCGACCGTCCATTTTGTACGCATACATGTGGTTCGTTTCGCTGGTTCTCTCGTATTGAGCTCACAGCAGTTCTGCTGACTCGACCAATTCCCCGATTCTCAAATTCTGATTGAACCCTCCGGCAGTTATCTATTTTCGCCGGCACGCCAAGTCAAGTGTCAAGAGTTCAACAACCGGCGCGACGCTCAAACTAGTTTTTGCATAATATACGCACACCACAGCAGAAGCAGATCAGCAGCCGAAAATTAACATATTCCGGGTTTGTTTACAATCTTTCGCCAGATGTGCGTGCGACTTGCTCTGCGGTGGGAAGTATTCTGCCAGAGAAGGCTTCCAGGAGAATTCAAGCAAGAGCCGGCACGGCACTCAGGCCAGCTGCTCAAATAATCTGCATCGCCACCGCATTAGTTACACATCCACAAAACTAACAAAACAAAAAAAGAAAATAACTATTAATCAAACGCTAGAGGTGGAAGCTCATCGATGCCGTCATCGATATTACATGGGGCCTATCGATGATTTTGCCACCTGACAAAATAAATTCCAGTTTGTAAAGATCGGCTAGTAGATTAAAAATAAAATTTTTTAAGATTATATAGAAGAATAAAAAAGAAAAATGCATGTCTTGCGACTGAGTTTTAAGGCTGCAAGTATAACCGAAAGAACAGATATAAGGTGAATAACTTGGATAGGCATTAAGCCTAGACATAAACCAACAACATATTCAAAATAATGATTTGATTGTTTTTTCCGTTAAAAGCAAAAATATTAAATATTTATAAAATAAATTACTAAAAGTATTTAAAATACAAGACTATACTTAGAAATACATATATATATATATATATATATATATATATATATATATATATATATATATATATATATGGGCAATTCTCCAGAAACGTTCACCGCGGCCAAAAACTTAAAATTGCTTAAAAACGAGTATTTTAACATGATTACATTAAAAATTGGTCAGGATGATCAAGACTAAGAGAATTTTCATTTCTAAAATAAGTTCAAAAAAATCGATGTCAAACACGCGCAAACGCAAATAATGTTGTTTTATCAAAAAAGGCATAAAAAATGGCATGTTTTGTTTTGATGCCCATCTCTTAAACCGAACCATTTTGCTTTAACTTTTGGTTTCTAATATGACATAAAAACCCAAAGATTCAATATTAAGTGCAAAAGGACATATCCGATCACCAATATTCGTACAGTTTCAGTTTGAATTAGCGCTTTCCAAACTGTCGCGTGCGACATGTCGCGTGCGACCGGTACTAAAATTGAATTTAAAAAATAACTACTTAATATTTTAAAATCAAACAAAATACGTTAGTAAGATAATTCATTGCGTAATTCATTAAAATTTATTGTACTACAATTTTTCATCACGTTTCGCTGAAATCAGAGCTTAAACTGGTTTTTTTCAAATGTAACTTCTATTTTTGACGCGTGCGAACGCAGTACATTTTAGTGAATATCTTGAAAACAAACAAGGGTTCAAAATCGACCTTTGAACCAATTATAGTGCTAACCAAGAGCTATACGTTTCATTTTTTATAAAAATAAAATAAAGTCTTGGCACATGTGTTTTTTTAGTTTGAATGCGTACGAATGTCGCATTCGACACCAGAGAATTGCCCATATATAATTTAATAAATTATTGTTTTTATTGTTTTGCTTTAAAGTTAACATTTCTTAAAATTTATTTTAAACAAAAACAAAAAAAAATTTTTTAGCGGTGATTCTAAGGACCTATTTTCACACACGTACTCTTAAGAGAAAATTTATCACATTTGCTGTCAATTTACTTTAAAATATACAATTAATTGGTTAAGCATTAATATATTCCTAATTGACAACCATAAGATTGTTGATAAATTGATACATTTTTAATACAGTGCGTCGAAGCTTAATTCGTGCTGTAAAGAAACAAAAACTTTAAAGGTTTTAGAGACTAAACGAATAACAATAATAACAAAATTTAGGAGCAGTATTTCAAATCCCTTTTTAAACATTTATATTGAACAAAAAACAATCCTATTAATCAATAAAACACTGGAATAATATATTTACAAATAATTTAGTTCAAAAGCACTGATAAACTCTGTAAAAAAAACTATAATGAAATAAAATGTTAAAGAAATAAAGCTTACTAAATAATGATTATAATTTTTGAATTGATTGAAAATCACTCCAGTTGTTGAACATTCATGACTAAGGTACAAAATCAATAAAAAAGTTATTTCTAAAATTAAAACGGTTGGTTAGAAATTAACCTTAGAAGTGGTCATTCATATAGGCAAAGAACAAGGATTGGATTAGGGACTTTTAGATATCTTAAAATATGATTCATTTCTGACTGTTCTGGATTCTGCATTCATTACGGTGGCTTTTAAATTCAGCATGAATACTTACAGTCAAACGAAAGGAAATTCTGGTTGAAGTTTTGTACCAGGCGCACAGCAACCAGACCCGCGTCATCGGGTTCTGGAATGTGTGAAATGAAAGCGAAATCAAGGGGATGTGTGCGTGTGTGCAAGGGGGTGTGTTCCGTTGACATTGCCGCATTTTTCTTTAGGGGTGGGTTTCGATGGCATTGGCGTGTCCTCGGATTTGCAACCACCAGTGCGGCGAGTTTGGGTATTTTATAGTAGGAAAAGGTACATAATTCGATAGCTTACAACAATGAGTTTAAATAATATACTAAAGATTTCTAAAGAATATCATCAAGTAAATATTAGTTATTAAATTACTTGTTTAGTCAGTTTTTAATTTTACAAAAAATCCGATTTTTTCCATTGCAATGTATGTATTCTTTTGGAAAATTCACACTTTTTAAATGTTGAAACCTCATAGATATATATGTGCAGCTTTCTGCTTCAGTGATATTAGCTATTTTATCGTTTATTTCCACCAGCACTGTCCACCACTCCAACAGGAACTCGGGGACAGGGACACCGCCCCTGCGGATGACGGGTCGTGGCTTTGCCCGCCCAGTGGGTGGGCTGCACCCAACCTCGGTGCGAGGCGAGCGTTTCAATTAGCGAGTACGGGCACTCGGTGGCGCCCAAAACATGCGTCGAACAGCCGGACTGGCTCTTTGTGCTTTTTCCAAAGAACCCGGCCAAGAACCTCTGCAGGCGGCAGCAGCAGCAGCAGGAGCAGCAACAACAGCGGTGCGTTCAAATAGACAGACACGTGTCCATCAGCGGTTTAACCCTTCTTAAGGTAACGCCCAAGGATTACCAGGCGACCAGGACTCGGCGCAAGTCTTCCATCGAATGGCAGGGCCAGTGCGCATGTCGTCGCACTAGGGCGTGATCTACGGGGCGGAGTATAGCCGGCGACTGGGCCGGGTTTATTGACGTTACCACCGGGGCGAGGCCATTACATAACGCTAACAGGCGAGAGCAGTGCGGCCGACGGCCAAACCGGTTAACAGTTACGTCGTAACTAGGAGCAACCTTAGTGCACCAGGCGAACAGAAGCGCCAGCCGGAGTGCCCGTTACTACGTCTTTACATTGACGTGACCGTGGTGGTGGTTTTTGGCCACAATTGAGGTCAAGTAATAAGTAATAGAATGAAGCAAAAATAAATAAAATAAAGAAAAAATACAATTAAGTCTATACCATTTGGATCTAGCTTGCCAGAATTCTAAAAGAACATATTTTAAAGCATACTTTTTGGGGCCAAAAGTGATTTTCAAACTTTGGATGGTACTTTTATAAAAACCACGATATTTAAATAATAATAAAAATAAATACAGAAATTGCATATTATATTTTTTAATTAGTTTTCATTAAAATTGAAAAATATATTTATCTGGCAAACTAATATTCAAGATAGAATTTAATCTTTTGGTGCTATTAATTCGCTCCCATCTGTGTTCGCAGATGGTTGTGATTTAGGGGTTGCTCTCGCAGCGTCATTAAGTACGCGGCGACTCCGGCTCAAGGTCGCTCGCAAGCACACACACACATGCACGCCTGGAGGTAGAGAGCCTGCTCCTGTGTCTTGGGCTTCGTCCTTGTGTGCGTTCCAGCATCGCTGCATGTGTAGGCCTGCGACACGTGTATTGTCCGTCACACACTCGTACACATTCTTTCGTGGTAGATTCTGGATCAGGCGAACATAATCCGGCGTAAGCGGAGCGACATGTCAGCGTCGCATAATAATTGGCGAACGCACAGATGCATGTGTGTGAGTGTTAATGCAATCAGTGTGCGTGAGTCGAACGCACACACACATGCGGAGCAGGGATACATATGCTTTGGGGGTGGCTGGTGACCGCCATATCGCGCATACGGAAAAGCTGGAAAAGCTCGCAAAGCTTAGCAAGGCCACCGCACGGGTTCGCGGCAAGACTAGTTCCTACCATTTATTATTTTAATCGGTAAATTATTTAACATTTAAGTCGTTAATAACTCTTAATATATTTAAAAACTTGAGAAATATAATATAAGGAAACATATATACATACTTATTTAATATATTGCCTCAAAAAACAGAATATTAATGTTATTATTAAAATGAAAACAATTAAGTCTTTTGCAGGGTTTACCAGGGTTTACCTTTTGATAATATAATTTAAATTATATTCCAAAACTATTTTTAAATTATATTATTGAATAAATAAATACAAATATTTTAAAAGTATTTATTTTAGCGAAAAAATAAAACATTGAAAATGTATTTTTTAACAATAATTAAAACTTTTTAATATAATATGTGAACAAAAATGTCATTTCAATATTGCGTTTTATTATTCAGAAAAACACTTAAGAATATAATTAATCTTATTATGTATTTAAGAAAGAACAATACATTTATCGTACTATTTCGACGAATATCCGCTAATGTATAGTATTATAGTATAACTTTTGTGGAAATCCTTTGATTAACATATGTTACATTAAAAAATATATTAAAAATAAATTAATAAAAATTTTTCAGTAATGTTTATGAATTTTCCATAACATAGTTTAGAGAACAAAGTGTATTAATTGGATGGTGTACTAATTCTTTGTACAGGTATCACTGCCGCTTTGTTCAAACTACATAGACAGTTCGATTAATGTTTGGCAATTCCGTTAGTTTCGCTTATCGTGCTCAATAATATTAGCCAATAATTTGAGCCATTTGTTAAATTGCTTGCGCGATAAGCAAGGCAACAGTAACTTTTCAATGGCTACAGCAACGACAATTGTGTGGCGGCTAACACTTTAAACAAAGGCGAAAGGACGAAGGATGCGAGCAGAAAGCCAGCGCCGAAAGCGAAGGGCAAAGGCAATCCCCGGACAATGACACTGCCAATAATGATGACGACGTCGCCACTTGTCATTGTGTTTGCTGCTTAAAACTGCCTTTGAACACACACATGGCCATGGAGGGATCTAGCTCGGTATCTGCCACTCGAAATCGGACAAAACCGGAGAAGGACAACTTCATAGTTGTCGTTGCGTGTTTGCAGCA